ATGCACAGTGCTCACTCAAGACCCAAGGACTGGTACTGATTTTCTGCAATACGACTAACACTCCATGCATCCACTATTCAAACTACTGTTCAGATTATTAATCTCCCAAAAGATAATATTATGGCATCAAAAATTCACTTAGACACTTTGCCATTCACAGACTCAGTATGGTGCAACACTGCGTGAACACTTCACGAATTTCTGTACTCACAATTCTGGGTCCATACACTCGTATAACATTTTCCATATACCGTATCACCATAAGGTCCTCACATATATATAATACTGTATTCTGAAAGTATACTGGCATTAGAGTTCACATAACATACGTTACACAAAATAATGACCCGTTAGCACCTGGTTAAAATAACTTTAAAATTATAGCATATACATAGGAATATTAATAGTAGGAACTGTAAAATGCCCCGAGATATTAAGTAAATGGAATATATATCCTACCTAACACATAACTAAAGAATATGACAAGTACAGAATTAGCATCCACTTAACCTTTGTATATAGTGCAATGCTTCTGTTAGCACTCAGAATTAAAACACTGGGCACTCCCACGATGGAAACATTTCACAACTAGTGCCACGGCCCAAACATGTATTCACTGTCTGTAAGTAATACTGAGTTAACAACAGAAAAAAAATTTGGGCAGATTGTTACATATCAAAATTCTTCCACTATTAATGAACCTTATTCACACTCTACAAGTTATTGTTGCAGGTTTCCTTTTACTTTAAACAAGACTTTTTCTAACCTAACTCCAAGGTATTTCTTTGAACTTATTTCACTCTCTCTGCAAACCACCACAAAAAGCTGTACCTCGGAAAAATATGGGACAAAATCATTAGCAATCTGAAATACTCATTAGTTACAGTGGAATGATTATTAAATACCCGTACAGAGAAATGGTTATAACTCAGTTAAAAACTACAGTATCACAGTCATTCCTCCCAACTCGATACTATGTTCATTACATCACCATAGCTGCCACCATTTATGAGGGCTTGAGCTGCCACCCTTCATGAGGGCCTGTGTGCCAGTAACAATTCCTTTTACTCTTATATATCACCATTGGTAGCGTGACGATAGGAGGCTCGTGGGTAGGTGTAATGATAGTATCAAGCAATAGGGAAGAAATAACGGTAAATACTGTAGGTAAATAATATACACAATTATACAAATACAAAGTTTATTTAAACATGAATATGAAATTAGAAGAAAGAATTGGTTTGTACTAACAGACAAAATCTATTACTAGGCCCTCAGGCTCAACATACTCACACCATTACTGGGTGGACATATTCAATACCCTTCCAACCCTACGGGGTGGACATACTCAATAACACAACTATGATAGTCACTTAGCACCATAAATACTAGGGCAACTGCCACTACAACACTCAGTCGTCAGGAGTGATACTCAAGCAACAGCCATGGGGTCCAGCCACCATGGAGTACTACCCGACGAACTCTGGAGATCCCAGTGGGTTAATTCCACCACACAAATATAGCCCTACTGAGGTAGACATTCATCCACCAATGATGGGGGGCTGGTAGTGGTGTGTGGCTTGGTGGTCCAGGGTCACCTCGTGGACCGAGCGTTAGGGCCAGACGAGCCAGCTATGGGGGCTATAGGTGGTCTGAAGTGTCTGACGGCCGGGTCTCACGAAAGTAACTGATCCTACTGGACCTCGGACATGTCCCCAGACATAGTGGATACAACATCCACCCTACAGACACGGCCTAGGCTGCGTTAGGGACCTGTATGGATGAAGGGACGGGCACTTACTAACCGGTGACAACAACAACACGTTTCAGGGGACGTTAAAGACGTAAATATGACTTTACTCAGAGCATATCAACTACGTTACTGTAACACTTGCACAATCAACTATCAATTGGGTCAAATCACTTAAAGAAGGGCAAATTACAACACAGCGTGGAATGGCATACCTGTATGGATGAAGGGACGGGCACTTACTAACCGTTAAAATGCCCGCGTGCCCTCACTCAAACCAGACCAGGGAGTCCACCTACTCCTATTCCGATGAATTAATTTACGGTACCCTCTGACGTTGAAATTGAGACTATGAACTCATTTTCATTCTCTACTATTATCTTCACTAACAATGCTCTGACTCAGCTATCGAAAGCAAAATTAAATTGATTACAAAGGAATGGATGGCAACAGGTCCCAGCATACAGCGTCTGCTCCCATAGACAAAGGCGGGGGAAACAGAGAAAACGGGGGACGTTTCCACTGGGGGACTCGGAAGGTTTTGTGGACGTTTGAGCGTAATATGAATCCTTAAGGTTTTCAGGTTAGCTCTTATCATGACCATTACACTGTGATGCTCAAATATAGTACTACACTGTGCTGTGATGCTCAAATATAGTACTACACTGCTGTGATGCTCAAATATAGTACTACACTGTGCTGTGATGCTCAAATATAGTACTACACTGTGCTGTGATGCTCAAATATAGTACTACACTGTGCTGTGATGCTCAAATATAGTACTACACTGTGCTGTATTGCTCAAATATAGTACTACACTGTACTGTGATGCTCAAATATAGTACTACACTGTACTGTGATGCTCAAATATAGTACTACACTGTACTGTGATGCTCAAATATAGTACTACACTGTGCTGTGATGCTCAAATATAGTACTACACTGTGCTGTGATGCTCAAATATAGTACTACACTGTGCTGTGATGCTCAAATATAGTACTACACTGTACTGTGATGCTCAAATATAATACTACACTGTGCTGTGATGCTCAAATATAATACTACACTGTGCTGTGATGCTCAAATATAATACTACACTGCTGTGATGCTCAAATATAATACTACACTGTGCTGTGATGCTCAAATATAATACTATACTGTGCTGTGATGCTCAAATATAATACTACACTGTGCTGTGATGCTCAAATATAATACTACACTGTGCTGTGAGGCTCAAATATAGTGTACTACACTGTACTGTGATGCTCAAATATAGTACTACACTGTACTGTGATGCTCAAATATAGTACTACACTGTTCTGTGATGCTCAAATATAGTACTACACTGTGCTGTGATGCTCAAATATAGTACTACACTGTACTGTGATGCTTAAATATAGTACTACACTGTACTGTGATGCTCAAATATAGTACTACACTGTATGTGATGCTAAAATATACTACTACATTGTACTGTGATGCTCAAATATAAAACTACACTGCTGTGATGCTCAAATATAAGGTCTGTACTGTACTGTGATGCTCAAATATAGTAATGCTGACTAAAGCGATGTCTATATAGTACTACACTTCACAGTTGTGATGCTCAAATATAGTACCACACTGTGCTGTGATGTGCTCAAACATAGTACCACACCGTGATGCTCAAATATAGTACTACACTGTACTGTGATGCTCAAATATAGTAACAATTAAACTGTACTGTGATGCTCAAATATAGTACTCACACCTGTGTTGTGATGCTCAAATATAGTACTACACTGTGCTGTGATGCTCAAATATAGTACTACACTGTACTGTGATGCTCAAATATAATACTACACTGTGCTGTGATGCTCAAATATAATACTACACTGTGCTGTGATGCTCAAATATAATACTACACTGTGCTGTGATGCTCAAATATAATACTACACTGTGCTGTGAGAGGCTCAAATATAGTGTACTACACTAGTACCAGGATGCTCAAATATAGTACTACACTGTACTGTGATGCTCAAATATAGTACTACACTGTTCTGTGATGCTCAAATATAGTACTACACTGTGCTGTGATGCTCAAATATAGTACTACACTGTACTGTGATGCTCAAATATAGTACTACACTGTGCTGTGATGCTCAAATATAGTACTACACTGCTGTGATGCTCAAATATAGTACTACACTGTGCTGTGATGCTCAAATATAAAACTACACTGTACTGTGATGCTCAAATATAGTACTACACTGTATGTGATGCTAAAATATACTACTACACTGTACTGTGATGCTCAAATATAGTACTACACTGTACTGATGCTAAAATATAGTACTACACTGTGCTGTGATGCTCAAATATAAAACTACACTGCTGTGATGCTCAAATATAATAGTACACTGTACTGTGATGCTCAAATATAAGGTCTGTACTGTACTGTGATGCTCAAATATAGTGCTACACTGTGCTATGATGCTCAAATATAATACTACACTGTACTGTGATGCTCAAATATAGTACTACACTGCTGTGATGCTCAAATATAGTAACACTGTACTGTGATGCTCACATATAGTAATGTATAGTGTTGCAGGTACTGATCAAATATAATACTGTGCTGTGATGCTCAAGTGCAATACTGTACTGTGATGCTCAAATATAGTACTGTAGTGTGCCTATCAAATATACTGCTGTACTGTGCCTATCAAATATAGTACTGTACTGTGCCTATCAAATATAATACTGTGCTGTGATGCTCAAATAATTACAGTATTCTTGTGGATAACCCACTTTCAGTATATATATATATATATATATATATATATAATATATATATATATATATATATATATATATATATATATATATATATATATATATATATATATATATATATATATATATATACAGTATTTAATAATAATAAATGTTTATTAATAGAGTTGCAGCCGGTGGCTGAAAATATACAGACTTACATTTGATTTAGACATATAATATGCATTGAATACATTTACAGGGCTGTACAGTACATAAATCAGTTGTTTATTATTTTAACAATAGTATTAGTGAGAAGGCTGGCTCGTTCTCTGGTCCAGTCTGTGTCCTGTACATGACACTCTGGACAAACTGCAGTTTCTCTCTCTCTCTACAATACAGTATAATGTCATATAAAGTTATTACACATTATCGTTATTTCACTGAAAAAGAATCCCAAGCACTGTAATCCAGTTTTCTAATAAAACCCTTGCAGGCTCCGTAATATTGTTCCGCGGGTGCCGAACTACAGGTTGTGAATCACTGGTGTAAAGTTATAACATTGTAAAACAAGTGTCCTATAGTGTTCCTCACACTGACGACACATATTAAGTGTTGTTTACCTCATTACTACTGCATCACACAAGCCACTTCATGAACATTCTTTATTCTTCCTAGCCCATGCGTTACCAATCTGGGGTAAGGACATGTATATATTTCCTGTATATATCGTGCTTGGCCATTTTGTAAGACTAGAATTGTTTTCAAATGTTCCAGAAAATACTGTGGGGAGGGAGGGGGGGGGGGTATACTAACCATAGGCTGAAGCCGTGGTTAATATTCTATAATGGTAAATCAGTCAAGTGTAAATGGTAGAGCAATAAGTACATACAGTGTATTTTATACTATCTTTACAGGTCAGCACTTCAAGCAGTACGACCTGGTGGAACTGTGGTGTACTCAACTTGTACTCTGTCACCTTTACAGAATGATGGTGTTGTACATCTAGCACTTTCTAGAATATGGCAAGAGACCACCATTGAATGCTCTGTTGTGTAAGTTGATTTCATCCATCTTTAAGTATCTAAACTTAGCTCTTTCCCACCCATCAAATCGATTTCACTTTCAGGATCATTTCCCTCTTGATGTAGGACCAAATATGCAAAATACCATGTTTGGCCTTGTAAAGTGCACCCTTAAATTAGTTGGGAATATAATTGAGACTTCTTGAATAGGATTGAAAAACTTGCTACCCCCTCAGTTTATTTTTTATTCCAATAAATCATTCATTACCACATCATTTATAATTATTTATGTATTCTTACAATTACTGCATGACTTAGGTTTTAATATCATGAGTAAAAAAATAGTTGTACAGTACAATTCATAGATGTGCTGGCAAAAGGAGGATAAAGTTATAAATGGCAATTTGGAGCTGCTGGTACCTATACTTGTCTGACAACTAATTTTTCACATTTGATTCACATGATGTTAATGAGAAAGATGATGAAATTTACAAATAGCCCTCATATATCTATAATTTTCCTCACTAATGGTCTCGGTTTACTTCCAGGGATATGACTTATGCAGTTCGATCATTGAGTTTCCTGTATCGCTTTGGAAATAATTTGGGCTTGCGCTATGGTCAGGTTGTTCTGCCATCACTTCTCTCTAATTTTGGTCCTATGTATTGTGCTAAAATAAGACGATTAAAATAAAAATGTGAAGTTCCTAGTAAGCTGCCAAGGTAAGTCCATTATTCAAATAAAACTAGAGAGGAAGATATGATACTAGTGTATTACTTTTCATGTCTCATTCTTTCAAAAAATATTTGAAATTATTTGTAAACCAAATGTATTGCCATGTTTTTGATTGTAAGAATATATGAATCATGTAAATACTGTATAGATTTCTAGAGCTTTTAAATTTTTTCTCATGTTTTGATAAAATAAAAAAAATCAATGGAATACTGTACCGTACTTGTTTGGTATTTAGATTTATACCTTCGGTTTTATCAGATAAATCATTTTCCCATCTCATTTACATCCACACATTTTCAGTTTTCATTGTACTTACATAAAATTAAGAACATAATACAATTTAAATAAAAATTGCAATAAATAGTCTTTTCAGCAGTTAAGAGTTCCCCAGGAAGGAGTTCAGTGGATTTGTTTACATCCCAATAGCTTCTTGCAAGTCATAGGAAGTATTGTTCATAAATAATTATTAGCCAAGAATGACTCGGGGAAAAGTTGTCAGAAATGACTGACTTAAGAACCCATCGAAAGAGGCTGCCATCAGATAATCATAGATGACTCATGTGTGGAAAATAAGAGATTCATGCATACCCTCTGTGTACATTATACAAGTAACTTTGAAATGGGTATGAAAAAGGTTAAATTAACTTGTATTACTTTTAATAGATCTGGAAGTTAAAAAAAAATACCTTATTGCATTAACCAACAACATTTTAGCACTTAACATTTAGGTCAGAATTTAAGGCATTGACTAGTTGTAAATAGGGGGAAAATGAAGATGTTTAAGCACGAAATATAATTAGCACCACTTTGCTACAATTCAGATACTGTAGAGTATTTTGAAAAGTATTCAAAACTATTTATTGCACAATTTACAAGAATTAGTAAATTACTAAATTGCTCAGTTACCTTTCAAAAATTTTTTTTACAAGGAATCTTCCCCGGGGTACATATGCTATTACTATACGTACCATTGATGTCATTTGAAATTCTCCCATTGACACTACAGGTATTTCCATAAATAATGCCATTTCAAGAACTTTCAAGCTTGAATTCAAATTACTTAAAAAATCTGCTTATGGACTGTATACAACTTTAAGGCTATTCAGGCACAAATGCTATGAACAGATGTACACCTGGGCTCACTCAAGCCAAAAATTTAACAAAATACAGTAGTCAATTAAGGATTGCTAACATCTGCAGACAACACTTAAAGTTAACGTTGAACTTTTGTATAATGGTACACACTGACATGTTATGCAACTGCTATATTATTTACACTACTGTACAAAGAAGTGTTACTATCACAACAAAAATATTCAAACACCAAGACTTGTGCAAATATTCATTGGCAACAGAAAAAAAATTATTTGACATATGTAATATGGTACTATACCTAATTTTGGAAGGAGTGCATCAGTTACAAACAAATTATAATTTTAAACATTAACAATGAATGATTTTTGTACAATTATCTAATTTTAAAGTAAATATTATAAAACACTATACAATTATTTACAAACACTACAGAAAACATCTATTATCTATTGACACTGGTTTTCTTCTCCATCTTCTTAAAGAGATCCCTGAAAAGTAAAAAAAAAAAAAAAAAAACAATATTAGATTTACATTAAAACTTGCTTTAGGTAATGCTGAATCTGTCCAAGTATTACAGTGCATATGCACATGCTTGTTTGCATGTTAACAAAACTGATGATCAGAGAGAAACTTGCACTTGGCAACCATAAGAAAATACAAATAGTGTAATAATTGGATGTATTTGAGACTGCAAACTATTTTCTATTCAAACAGAACTGATATGACCACTATCTATAATTTGAAAGCTATAATGTCTAGGTTCAATAGCTACCCTGGCTGGGTCAGCCTGGCACTGACTTTGCCTCAGAGTATAGAAAATGAGTCTATGAGAACACTAGACTGGCTGGCCACTCAAAAACAAAACATGATTAACCTCACTCCATGAATGATAATGTGAGCTAGTTCCTCAAAATTTTGCATCACCCAGAGGATGGTTTGAGTGTGGAAAGAACCTTTTTTTTTATATAAAATGTCTGCTATTGTATTTTATATGCTATACACCAATCTTATTGTATATACAAGCAAACCCCCTAATTCATAGCCTCAGTATTCTTCATCCCATTTATCCGCAATCAATTTATTGTTACCCATTTCCACTATTCGCAAATTCTTACGAGCAAAAATGTTGAACTGCGCGCCTCAACCATCGCGTAGGACAGCGTTTGTACGTATTCCTCCGCCATACGCTCCCGCTCGCCTCAGTCTCACACGTGCTGGCGTGTGTTTTGTGTGATCTCGCAATGTCTAAGCGACCAGCTACTAAAACTCCCAGCAATGTTGCTAAGAGATCACATGTGGCAGTTACACTGGACATGAAATTGGATATCGTAAAAAGACATGAACACGGAGAAGGAACGTCAGTGATTGGGCACGTGCACGGCTTGGCTCCCTCTACGGTGCATTCTATAGTTAAAAGTGCCGACAAGATCAAGGAGATGGCCGGGTCTGCAACACCACTGAGGGCTACGAAGGTGACGAGGTTCTGTGATGCCGAGATGGAGAGTATGGAGCGGATGTTGAGCACATGGATTGATGACCAGACCCAGCGCCTTAAAACACCTTTATTGCAACAGAAGGTAGTAGAGAACAACAGCTTTCAATGCAAATGGACAGCGATAATGAAAGTGAGGTGGCTGACAACCCTGGCATTGATGATGAGTGAGGTGGCTGACGACCCTGGCATTGATGATGAGTGAGGTGGCTGACGACCCTGGCATTGATGATGAGTGAGGTGGCTGACGACCCTGGCATTGATGATGAGTGAGGTGGCTGACGACCCTGGCATTGATGATGAGTGAGGTGGCTGACGACCCTGGCATTGATGATGAGTGAGGTGGCTGACAACCTTGGCATTGATGATGAGTGAGGTGACTGGCAGTGAGGTGGCTGACGACCCTGGCATTGATGATGAGTGAGGTGGCTTACGACCCCAGCCTCCTCTCATCCCAGTAAATTTTCTCCCTCTCCCCTAATGCCAACTTCAGCAAGCAAGCAGCACAGCACATCAGAGATAAATTAACAGTATGTTTAAAACTTACCTCACATACCTACGCACATAAACATTCAAACATGTAAAATACCCCTGTATACTGTACTTGTAAACATATATGCCTAATAAACTCACTGTTTGTTATTGATGTTTATTTGATATGCCCTTGTTTCTTTACATTATTTCTTATGGGAGAAATTGCTCCGCTATTCGCAACAAGTTTCATGCCCGTAACCTTTGCGATAAGTGAGGCAGCCCTGTAAAATATTTTTTTTTTATGTATGCAATTTGTTTAAATTAGGCTCACCTTGTGCACACTAAATCATTTAGCTCTGAACCACATCATTTATATAGAAGTTTGGTGTTAATAAATCAATTGTATAACTTTGAACTGTTTATAATGAACTCTTATTATTATTAGTGAGTACTGTGCTCGATGTTTACCGCCCTGCCGTTTGAACCTGTTGTTAACTTCCGTGCTTCGTTGTTATTCCTTCGTTTCACTTAATGTTAGATTTTTGAACGACACAATCCCATTGTTAAATGAGGGATACCTGTATACCACAATGGGTTTGGTCCTAAACACTGGGACTACCAATAATGTATTTATGGAAATACTGTACTATATGATTTTTGCTTACTTATGCATATAGAAGAAGATGTAGCCATTCTTCTGTCGACCTTCTGCAAAGACAACAGTCTCTGGGATTTTTACAACACACTCATCATCATAATGGAACCAGCTGTCTTCTTCACAATTGAATACATCTGCTACATAGTGCCCTGCAAAACAAAACTTATTACTCAACAGTTATATACTATATACACACACACACTCATATGTGGGGGTTATGTTTCTTGACAAAACTGTTTGGGGAACCCATTATGGCTTTACCCCAGAAGAATATGTGGGGGTTATGTTTCTTGACAAAACTGTTTGGGGAACCCATTATGACTTTACCCCAGAAGAATATGTGGGGGTTATGTTCCTTGACAAGACTGTTTGGGGAACCCATTATGACTTTACCCCAGAAGATCTACAAATGTACAGTCTCGTACAGTATAAACAAACATTCATATTCTATAAACGAAATAACCTGCAACAGCTCTTTTTATGACCACAATGAATGAAATTGTAAGATATATCAACCTATGAAAGCAAGATGATGCCATTTATAAGAATAATATTGTAAACTATTATCATCATTGTTTTTATTCATTAAAATATGATTAAAATTTTAATTACAAACTCTAAATACATCCTAATATTCTCATAGGTTTCATTTTCACAACACAGCAGAGGTGAAAATCTTAACTTGTGCTATCCGTGATTTTGCAAGAACTATAATGGAGATTGAAAGCAAAAAATTGGTGTAGCAAAAGTATATCTTCTCAAAGAACAAATACCGTTGAAATAAATGTTTTAAAATATCCTTGTTTTGAAAGTCACAAATAAAACACAGTGGTCTGTATTTATCCCGGTTAATCTTTTATAAAAGGGGGAATCAGACTACCCAAAAATTCTACTGTATATGCAGTTTACTGCTTTAACACTATTTTAATAATACCTATCATATCCACAATTCCAAACAATTTACTTATGAATATTTTTACTCACCAGTGTTAGTTGTGAGACCAAAGTGGCTGATCACACTAATTAGGCAGTAAGTATGCCGGTCACTCTCCCCGTTTTCTTCAATGACGAGACTATTTTGCCCCTTCTCATCATCCTGAGGAAGGTCAGGCATTTCTATTAAGTTTTAAATCTTCAATATGAAAGTAACATACAGTGCAGCTAAGTTAGAAGTGGGATTCCAAAAGAATGTAATGCAATTTTATTTTTGTTTTAATTACCAAGAAACCGGTTGTGCATATTATGTGGAACATTTACATATCCCAAGAAAGTGACTTGGAATTTACTTGACCAGATAGCTAAAAAAAATAAAAATAAAAATAAAAATTTTAATCGCCCATACAGATTTTTTTAGTAAATTTGTTTACCCAGATTTTATCTACGGGAAAGGTTCAAACATCTTAAAACCTTAAAATTTATTGTTTATCACAGATCACTTATGTCAGTCTAAATGCCCTTCTCCGTCAAGTGGATAACTGTAGCTTCCAGCTGGTGTCAATAACGAAACACTTGTGATGTCATAACTCCTCACCTCACACCTGAATAGAGGCAGTTAGTGGCATGATGTAGATATAAATTGCCTGCACCTGATATAGGCCACCAATCCTGTTATAGTGATGACAAGTGGTCTGTTCCCGGTTAAACATGTACTCAGAAGTGGGATCACAAAGCACCTGATAAATTCCCCATGTAGTGAATTTACCTCTCAAAATATTAGCTTGTCTGCCGTGCAAGTGCTGGGCACATGGACATGAAAAATCACTTGCTATCTGCACAGCCTGTAAAGAAGCCTTATCATCAAAGAGCAAAATAAATTTGGGTTCATTTACCCAAAAAGAATTCCATAAATGAAATAACTCAAAAGATCTTCACCTGGAATCTAGTGTACTGGTATACAAGTTCTTGCAGCTGAAACCTACCAGTTGAGATGTTATTGTGTTCAGAACACCCAGAGGATGGGAGGATGTGTTATATACCAAGGTTAGACAATTGCATGTGTGTGGAAGGGGTGATAATCTAAATCACCTTAAAATTACAATGGGGCTGAATTTGCAATCTTAGTAAATATCTCACCATTAACTGACTGTACTACCTGACACCATGCCTTATCCCAAATTTTAATGAAAATTCTTTCAGACTTAACAACTTGTACAGTATCAATAAACAGTCTCTTATTGTATGTGGAAGATTGCAAAATGGATCTAATTACTTTGTGTATGGGGCCCCCTCAGCTAAATATTAATTTGATGTTAAGTCAAATAAAATGTTAAAAGTGATGTCCCCGTAGTAAAGGAGTTAATTATGCATGAAAACGGTAAGAGTCCTCAAGATGATTTTTTTTTAAACACTGCACTGTAATGCAATAATTTGATACAGTAAAAGTCCAAAAATCCAGATGCCAGAAATCCGGACCACCCGAGAATCCGGACTTTTCGAAAACTCAAATTTTTTCTAAGCTGGCTTTTGCGTGTATGTGCGCATGCGTGAGCGCCACAGCTGCACAGCGACAACAAGCGACCATGCACGGTCGCCACTTTAAAACGAGCAATCAAACTGTGACAACGTATGTAATGTTGAGTCCCACTTTTTCCGTTCACAGAGTACTGTACAAGCCCATAATAATGGCTCCTAAAGTAGATAAACTTCGTTGTGTGAAGAGAAAGAACACGTTGAAATTGAGTGACAAACTTGAAATAATTAAGAAACTAGAACGTGGTGTGAGAAGTGCTGTTCGAATGGAAACATACGACATTGGAAAGTCTACAATTTATAATATAAAAAAAGGCAAAGAATAAAATTCCAGAATTCATAGCTTTTTCTTTAAAACTACTCGTTTTGATAAACGAAGGATGCCATATTTGCTAATGAATAAACTATCAAAATGTACCTGTTCATCTCTTCTTTATTCCTCCTTAAATTTTAATTTTAAAAGTACTGCCTGAGAATCCGGAAAATCCGGACCGACCCAATCCCCAAGCAGTCCGGATTTTTGGACTTCTACTGTATATCTATATACATACACATGAACATTTATCAAAATCAAGCAGGAGCACCAGCTGAAGCAAGTGCTGGCTAAACCAGATGAGTAAGAGTCTAGTCATGGTTACTTCAATTACATGAACCAGACTCTTACCTACCAGCTTTAGCCAGCAAGCAGGAATGTTCACACACACATTTATCAAATAGAATAACCATATCACCATGGTATTGGCTGTAGTAACATTCAGCAACAATAACTCTCATAAACAGTTTAAGCCTGATTCTGGCTTGGAATAAGATTCTGATTTCCATCATCTATTTGCTGCATGTTGGTACAGTATAAACATACTGTATACATGTGGTAGCACACACAAAAAGTAGTGAACAGGAAGGTATATAGCTAACTAACATTTACTAGAATTAAAATTAGCTTTGTCCCAGGCACTGACAAATAATCTTATTTACATACCTTATATATTAATTGCATGAGTTATTGAAACTTGGGTCCATATACTATCCAAATAAAGAGAACTGCCTTAGATATCTAAAGTGCAGAATACAGTACTTAAAAGGACAGGCCATGCTAGGTTATCCATGTTATCATCACAATACTTCTCATTTCAGAACATACATGGTATTTGGACGTTTTATTCGTAACATACAAGAAACTTTATGGCAGAAGAATTCAGTAGTCAATTTATTTGTGTAATAGAGTGACCCCCCCCCCACCCCCGCCAAGTTCGCAGATTTTTACTTTGCGGTTCTCGGTTATTCACGGACGACACCCTGGATGTACCCAAGAGTGTCTGTGGGTAGTTTTAAAGTTGCCGATATTTTTGCGGCTGGGACGGAGCCATTCATCCTAGATACAGTAATTTCCTTTATCTGTATTGTAAATGTGTGTGTGTGTGTATAGACACTCACACAAACAAATAAATAATAATTTGAAAATACTCTCACAAATAATCAGAAACAAATTTAAAAAAATGTGACAGTCTACCCTCAAGTCCGTGCTCTATTACAGTAATTTATTAATAGAGCATGGGCCTTGAGGGTAGACTCACATTTTTAATAAATTTGTTTCTGATTAACTGTGAGAAGATTTTCCAATTGTTATTTATTTGTATGTGTTTTGTGTGTATCTGCACACATATACAGTATTACAAGTAAAAGAAATAATTGTCTTAAGGGCAAACACAAAGGGAATACTGTATACATTTCATTGTACATGTAAATATCCTCCTCAAATGTTATTCACTAATTTGGCGATTCGCAGCCATAATGAGAACCTAATCCCCGCGAATTTTGCCCCCCGCCCCATACATATACCTGTACAGTATAGTAATCTATAAAACTTCAGATTTAACAGAAATTCTATTTAACTTAGTTCTGATCGCCACCTAGGCTTGGAAAAAGATTTTATAAAGAAATTACAGTAACTATGATATACAGTATATTTACACCAAACC